ATAATAAAAAATATAAATATATTAAATTTGTATTTTAATTACTAATAATAATTTTAAAAATTAATATTATATTCTCAACAAAATATTTATAAATCAAACGTTACAATGTTATCTTATCTGTAATTTAATTATTATTTTACTTATATACTAAACATTGTAATATTATTTTCTCTGTAATAATATTACTTACAATCATATTACCTATAATCATATTACCTATAATCACATTACGATGTAAAATAATAAATCCCACTTAATTGAGATGTCACTGACATAAGCGTACGCAACCCTTCCACCTAGCTCTGGGGTTGAGCTTGCGGCCCTTAGATGACCCAAAAAGTTTGGAAATGGGTTTAACAAAGCCCAGCCCGGCCCAATTCGAATACCTTCTTCCCCAGCAAGAAAACTTCCGATCTAGCAGCTACAAAAGGTCGCTCTTTTCTTATTCTCTTCCCACTCAAAGGACACCCAAAGTAAATCCCTTTGCTTTCTCTTTCATTGCAATCTTCGTTTTCGCTACTCTTTTTGTTAACTATTTTTCTTTAATTTTTGTTTTCCGTTTGTTCAGGATTTTAAATTTTCGCATTTTTGTTTCTCCGTAAATCAAAACCATGGGTGACAGTCAATATTCCTTTTCTCTCACAACATTCAGGTATTTCTTCATCACTTAATAGTATTATTAGATGAATCATTTTTTCGTTTTTTTTTCTCGAAAAAAATTTATATTATTTTTTGTGCTTTTGAACAGTCCTTCAGGAAAGCTAGTTCAGATCGAGCACGCCTTGACGGCTGTCGGGTCGGGTCAAACATCGCTTGGAATCAAAGGTTTATTTTTATTTTTTCCTCGCTTTTCTTATTACTTTTTTTTTTAAAGACGGGTTTAGGGGTTTAGAAATAGTGAAATAATTGCTGATGGTTTCTTTTCTTTTTTTTGTTGCTTATGATTACAATGGGTATAATTTGATGATGGGTTTTGAATTGCAGCTGCTAATGGGGTTGTTATTGCTACTGAGAAGAAATTGCCTTCAATCTTGGTTGATGAAACTTCTGTGAGTATATTATTTATTACTCTTCCGTTATAATTCGCATATTTTTTTAGAAAAAAAAGTAATTTTTAGGTTAATCGAAGAATGAAATGACTTGAAACTATGTTGCCTTGACCATGGTGTCAATGCAAGCTTGGGTATTGGGTTCTGACCCTCCAAAGATCAGGGAATAGTTAAATGCACCCGAGTCTGAGCAATGCAAACTTGCAATGATTGTATGTGTTTTGCCATTATGATTTTTGTTTCATGAAAGTATGCAAGTCTATGGCTGTTTTACTAAACCATTTTTTAATTTATATTATTATATAAAAGCGAACTGATAATTAATGATGCTTAGTTTTTCTCTTCCACGTTCTGGCAGTTGTATGTCCCAACTGATGAGCAGTTATTAATTACAGTGAATTTGGTTGTTCAATGTCTGATTTCAGGTTCAGAAAATACAGTGTCTGACGCCAAATATTGGAGTTGTTTACAGGTTTGGTTTTATCTCTACAAGTATTTAGAAAGCTCAGTTATTTAGTTTTTTGGCTGGGAGACATGTTCAATAAGATTAGCGTGTAGGTATACATTACCTCAAATAAGGCTTGATTATCAACCAAACTTTTACATCCATGATTATCTTTATGTTTTGTCAATGACTTAAGTAAGTACTGGTTGATGTGCATCTCTGACATGGTTGACTTGGCAAACTAGAGGGTTTTGCTGGAAGCACTATAAACATTTCAACTTCATGTTTCATAAGGTGGTCCATCCTAGAAAACTGTTTTTCTAAATGTTGGATAACAAGTACATTGCCTGCCTTGTGTCTCATGGAAGTTATTCTCCGTTGAAAAGTTTTTACTTTTATTTTTTTGTTCTATGATTAGGGAGATTATCTCTACAGATTTAGTTGATGGAGATATAAAAAAACATGCTACTCATAAAGAAATGTTCAGTTATGATCTCATTGTCTTGTCAAGTCTTGTAAGAAAGCTTTTTAAGTGGTTTACCACATAATATGGGCACTTTTATATGGTTTGTTATCTTTGCTGGCCTCCATGCTACATCATCATTTACATGAGGCTTTCTTTCATTTATCTAATGTTGGATTAGATATTGCTATCTCCAAACAAAGGAAAGGAGACTGTGCTTTTGATTTTGGAAAAGAAGATTGTGCGTGTAGAAAGTTAACATGCATTACTGTTTACCAAAATAAGTAGGTGGGATTGTTAGGCTTCTAAATAAGTATACTTGTAATTTGTGTTTTAATCCAGTCCTTTGCTGCTAATATGACTTCTCGGTTGATGATACTTATATATATATATATATATATATATATATTCATCCATAAATTCTAATACTGTTCTGCAGTGGTATGGGTCCTGATTTTCGAGTTTTGGTTCGGAAAAGTAGGAAGCAGGCAGAACAATATCATAGGTTGTATAAGGTATCGATGGCTCTGAATGATATTTAATTTGTTTAATTTACTTCATCGGGCATCTGGGAAAATTAATCTTGGATGAAATAATGGACTTATCCATACATTTACCTTTATGCATTTTATTCAACAACTGCATTTTTTAGTTCAAAAATAAAAAGGCTATATTTTGTTGTTTCTTGCATGATTTTTTTAACTTGTGTGCGGATTTTGTTTTTGCAGGAACCAATTCCAGTAACACAACTTGTAAGGGAAACTGCAGCTGTTATGCAGGAGTTTACACAGTCTGGGTAAGAATTATGTCCTTATGTACTTATGACAAGGAGTATGAGGAGTCTGAATGATTTAGGAGTTTGGTAGTCTCTTATCAGTTGTGCTTTTCTTCATGTTTGCTATTGATTTGTAAACTAGCATAGTTTTATTTAGCCAAAAAGAAAGTAGTATGATTCTAATATAAGGTTTTTTCTTAGAACTTTTTTCAAATACAATTTTGGTCTCAAGATTTTTGCATGATGTGGGCTGAAATTGGAACAAG